TCTCTCTCTCTCTCTCTCTCTCTCTCTCTCTCTCTCTCTCTCTCTCTCTCTCTCTCTCTCTCTCTCTCTCTTCAGTGCGATGTCTGACTGTGCTGTAATTCGGAGTCGTTCTCTGCCTTCGACGAACTCCCATCTTCCTTCCCGCCTTCACATTCGGAGTCGTCCTCTTCCTCCGACGACCTCCCATCTTTCTCGCCGCCATTGCTGCTGCCACGGCCATCTTCACTTTCATCGCTGCTGCCGCTGCCATCACGCGCACCTCCGCTGCGGCCGCTCCCGTCATTTTCATCATGCTCGGCCCCTCTTTCGTCGCTGCTGCTGCTTCCGTCGCTGCTGCCATGTTTGTCAGCGCTGCTCGTCTTTTCAAGCGCTGCTTCCTCCTCTTCGACGGGCTGCATCTGCAAACGCCCCTGCTTCCGTGTCCCCCTTCTAGTTCCAACCTCCTCCTCTTCCACGGGCGCCTTCCGCTGCCGTCCCCGCTTTCTTGTCGCCCGTGCGGGTGTAGGACCCCCTTCCAAATGCACACCTTCCACATCCTCAACTTCCTCATCACCTGTCCTCCCATGAGTCGCAGCGTCCTTTTTAGGTCTCCCTCTCCCTCGTTTGGATGATACGGAGGGTGGTGCACATGCAGCAGCCCGCGCAACTTTGTACTTGTTCGCATGCTCGAGGGTCATGGTCCTAGTGGCCTGATCCAAGTCATGCAAATGCTGTCGGGCCAGAACTTGGAAGCCTTCGTGGCCTTCCTCCACGACTTGTTGAGCTCCCTCTCGAGCTCGAACAAATCGCTGCGCAGCTGACGATGCTGAACTGTGACCTCCTCCGCAACAGCCGTTTGTTGCGCTTGGACAGGAATGTCCTCCTCGTCGGAGCCCGAGTCGTCATTCTCACCTTCGTCGTGAACCGAATGTGTTCCGCGCAACCGGGCACGCCACTCCCCCAACCGTAGCCGTGCATCTGACGCCATGTCATCTCGTGTGAGATCTTCCACCGGTTCATCCGCTTCCCACTTCGTAGAATCGTCGGCCTTCGGTTTCTTGGTCAAGAAATCCAACAAGTGCTGGTTCCATCTGTTGAAAACCAGCATGCTTAGCTTGATGGCGCCAAGATTGTTGAGGAGATGACTGTGAATCCGTTCGAACAAGCTCCAATTCCTCTCACAACCAGAGGGGGAGGCTTGTCCAAGGAGGCGAACGACTTGCTTTTGGAGGATGGGCATGTCACTGCACCACTTCTGCCACCACCTCGCCGGTTGCATCGTACGGGCTTGTGTCCTTGCATTTTCGGTAGTGTGTTTCCCGATGCCCTCGATCCAAGAACAAACCTCCGCGTCAACCTCCATATACGCAGCCTCCTTGCACCACGAGTAAAGCCTTGTCCAAAACCCGTCCACAATCTCTGCATCAATATCCGGCCGCGATGCTCTATACTTCAGATCCAAAAACAGCGTAGCACAATGCAGTGGTGAAGTCATTGTATTCCAGCGCCGCATGATGATAACCTCTAGCTCATCCTTTTCCGCTTCCGTGAAGTGCGTGCTCTCCCTCAGTTTCTCCACTGCGTTGTCCATACGGGCATACACGTTAATGATGGTGGGACCCGTGCCGTCGACCAACTTCAGAAGCTTGAGGAGGTGCTTGGACGTTTGCATCACCTTCTCGATATCTGCCTAGAAGGTGTCGTTGAAGATGGAATGCGTCACCCTCACAAACAGTTCATGTTGCGAAGTGTGCACAATCGATGGCTTCCAATCATCGTCTGTCACACACGCTCGCAGTGGCAAGTATAAGCCCTGCAGGCTCGACAACATGATGAAGTTCGTGGCAAATCGGGTCGCACCCGGTTTTGCCACGACACCACCATTGGAGTAGTGGATGAGGAGATCCAACACTCGCGAAAGGTTCGTGAACAACTTTGCTACCTCTGACGCCCTTTTAATAACTTCGCCCACCCAAGTGATCTTCGCGAAAGACTCGAAAATGAGGTTGAGCGAGTGCACTGTGCATGAGACGGAGAAGATGTGCGGGTAATCTGCTTACACCATTCGCGCCGCAACTGCACAAATGACAGCATTGTCCATAACGACCCCCACCACTGCCTCCGCACCTATCTCCTCTATTGCCCTCTTCAAAATGCCATAGTATGCCGAGGCGCCTTTGTTGCACCGTGACATGCACACACTTCGCGAAAAGATAGAGCCCTTCGGGAAGGAGACCATCACGTTGATGTGTGGTCTCTGTCGGCGATCTGTCCAACCATCAAGTTGCAACATGCAGTCAGTGGTTAGCCACTCCTGCCTCAACTCCTCCACCCTCTTCGCGACCCTCCCCCTCGTCACTTCAACCCTCTTCGTCCTTGTGTTCTCGAATTCAGCGTACCGGAATCCTTTGGGCGTGTTCATGAGGGCATGCACCATTCTGTCCCAGTACTCGCTCCACATCATATTGAACGGGATGTATTCTACCGTCATCCAGTCATCCACCGTGCGCTGTGTTTGCTCGTGCGCCGTGATCATAACAGCGTTGTCCTCGATCGTCGTTTGACGGAGGCCGACTACACTTGTGGACGATTGGGGAGTCGCATGACGGAGCCCCACCATAGACTTCGATCGATCGACTACTCCGGCTTCCACGATCCGCTGCTCGTTGTCATCCTCCGACGACTCTCCCTCTGCAGTCTCTCCTATAATGACTCACAACTCCGACCTCGCAACCAATCTCCCCTTCACCCGTCTCGAGTACTCTTCTCTCGGCACAACACCTCGCAGGTGCTCGACATCGCATCGCGAACCCTTCAAGAAATGGTCCCTTGCCCTGCTCACTGTCCCGGCCACAGGCTTGTCACATTAATTGCAGATCCGTTGTCAGGACCGGTGGGTCCCGAATGACTTCCCATCACTCAAGAGTTTGTATAGAGCCAATTTGTGCACGACAGAGAAATCGGGAATAAGGAGGAACGGGAAGAGAAAAGAGCAAAGGACTAAGCTGGCGAGAGCAACGGCGCCCCGGGTTGGGAACCGTAGGAAAGAGCTAGCAGCGGCAGGAAAACGAGCGCGGAGGCTCGGGCATGGAAGGGCGTAGCCTGAGGACAGACGAGGCACTAGATTTCGATACAACAGAGGCCAAGGGGACCGTCGACGGGACTAAGTGTCGGGGACCGCCGACGGGGCTAAGTGTCGGGGGCCTCCGACGGGGCTAAGTATTGGGGACCGCTGACGGGGCTAAGTATCGGGGACCACCGATGGGACTAAGTGTCGGGGACCGCCGACGGGGCTAAGTGTCGGGGACCGCCGACGGGACTAAGTGTAGGGGACTGCCGACGGGATTAAGTGTCGGGGACCACCAACGGGACTAAGTGTCGGGGACCGCCGATGGGACTAGGTGTTGGGGACCATCGGCGGGACAAAAGTCGGCGGTCCACGGTGGAACAAATACCAAGGACCAGCGTGGGACAAGTGGCAGGGACTTGTCACGCCCCAAGAGAAAAATAAAGAGCGATGTGAGGAGCAAATAATTAAAGCAAGGCGTACCGTCAAGATCGAGGATCTTGACGGCCAAGAATATTAGCTCTGCTAGTATGGGCACTAGTGGGAGCAAACGGGGAGGCGGAAAGGAAAAAGAAAAGTGAAGGAACCTGAAGTGGGAGGCATGGGAGCAATCCGAAAAATCTCGGATCAGCCCCCCCAAGAAAATTGAATTAAAAGAGAGCCCATGGGAAAATAGGGTCTCCTGGGGTAAATCGGAGTGAGGGAGGCCACTGCGGGAGAGGAATGGGAATAAAAGGAGGCTCCCGTGGGCATGAGAAGGCCAAAATTGTAGTCCGGGCTGCAACGGACTGCACCATGAGGAGAGGAAGGGCCAAAACTAAGAAGGAGGGCCTAGAAAAGGGCCTTAACGGCTAGTTGACACTTGGCATGCAAAAGAAAAAGAAAAGAAAAAGAAAAATGAGGGAGAATAAGACAAAATGGGTGAGAGGGAATGAGTGAGTTGGCCGTCAGTTGGGACTGCAGCAAGTAGGGACTGGCAGGTCCCTACTGTCTACAAATGGAGGGAAAAGAAAAGAAAAAAAAGAAAAAGAAAAAAGAGAGAGAGGAAAAGACAAAAGGGCACTAACAACCAAAAACGGCCACTTGGGGAGGTGCATCCGTGACCAGATTCATTCTGGAATGTGGTGGTTGCAATGGACTTGATTTTCTCTGAATTTTGCAGAGAAAATCAAAGAAAATCAATGTCCCTTGCAACCGAAAAATAACGAATTGCATTGGGGAGGAGAAACACATGTTATGGATACGTCCGGAGCCAAAATCAAGTTCGGATGCATCCGGGAGTTGGCTGTTTTTTTTTCTTTCAAGTAGGGGCTAGTTGTGGGGCTGTAAGGCTAGGAAAATGACCATGAATGCAGACCTAGAGATAACAGACTGCATAAGGATGCCTAGACCAAGGGAAAATGAGCCACGACAAGTTTGGAGGGCTAGAAAAAGGTGATGTCGGCATGGGGCAGGTGGAGGCAGTAAACGGCGATCGTGAGATGAGATCTCACGACCAAGAAAAAATTGGCACGCGTGCGCCACCTAAGGGAAGAAGGTTGGGCCCGCCGACGACAATGGGGATCCAAAAATAAAAAAAGGGGATACCGTCCGGGATGTTCCCGGGAACCAAGTGGGGGCAAATAATAAAAGTAGAGAAATGGGGTGTGCGCCGGCGGGACGAGAAAATGGAACCAGTATGGAGGAAGTGGCGGGGACCTGGGACGTTCCAAGGGAACCTTGGGCCAGGCAAGAAAAAAATAAATAACGGCGCTAGCGGACGGCACCGTCGAGATCAAGGATCTAGACAGGGGAAGATATTAGCGCCGCTAGTGCAAGCGCTAGCGGGGGCAAGCGGGAGAGCTACGAGAGGAAGGCAAGAAGAAATAATAGTGGTAGGGGGCCTGCCCAACTGTCCGAGATATCACGGACTAGCTGGGCTCGAGAGAATAGAGCCTCAAGGAGCTCCACATGAAAAAATGGTTGTCCGGAGAGAATCGGAGCAAGGGGGTTCAAAATCAGAATTAACGGGAGCAAAATGAGGCCCCCTAGGAGCATAGGGGTGCCATTACTGCAATCCGTGATATAACGGCCTAGTAGCTGCTGAGAATCTGGCCTTGAATGGGGTTCTAGAGGCTAGAAAGGAGGGTGCACAACTGTTTGACACTTGTCACAGCTGAAATAAAGAGAGAAAAGGGGGAGAAAATGGAAGGAGAATGAGACAAAAGGGGAGAAATGAGTGGAGGGAAATGTGCCGGCCTATTGGGACTGTTGCAGTAGGGACTGGCAGGTCCCTACAATGACCTCATCCCTCCTAGATTCAAGGAGGGCAGTCCGGATTGCAGAGACCACAAAATCTGAATTAAAAGAGAGAAAATAAGGGAAAATGCAGAAATGAGTTGGCCGTTTTTTTTGTGGACCATGGATCTGATATCAGATCTCGTGGTGGAGAGGAACTAGCCGTTTTTTGTGGGCCAGCACAAAACGGCTAGCTCCGAAATGAGGTGGCAACCCAAAATGGAAAGAAACAAGAGAGAGAAAATGACAAAAATGTGCATTTGGCCCAAAATAAGAGCCAGATGCATTAGAAATGAAGAGTGTGGACTTTGGGGCCCAAAATTGAAGCAAGGGCCACTTGGGGGTGGCACGGAATATTCATGGCCTTGGATCTCAGCCAGATCCAAGGCTGAAGATGCACCGCCACTTGGAAAAATGCAACGGCCTACTGAAAAAGAGGCCAAGGTCAAAAAAATTAAGGAAATGGGCCTCTAGGCCCTTGTTTTTCAAGTATGGCTGCCCCTTGGGCATGGGGACCCTATGAAACAACATTTTTGAAACTGAAAAGAGGCCAAGGGAGGCCAAAGGGTAGTCCGAGTTGGTACCAGCCACTCGGACTGCATGTACCTGGCCAAAATGAGGCCCAGGTACTTGCGGAGAGGCCTAGTGCTGAAATCTTGCCTTGGGGGTACCTCGGTCCACCTAGAGGCACATGGGGAGGCTCATGGGTTGGGCGGTGCACCAGTTTCAGCCTACATAAGCTGAGGATTCAGTCCGCCACTCTCACGTTTGCATGAGGAGAGCTCATGCTGCCCAAATGAGCCCGTGAGAGAGCTCTACTCGCTTGGAAGTGAGAGGAGGGGAACCGCTGCTAGTTTGGAGCGTGGTGATGGTGGAAGGCTAGAGGAGGAGGCCCTAGTGGCCGGTAGAAGTGAGGGAGGTAGTCCGCCATAGCCCCCAGGCTGTGAGAGAGAAGGGGAGGCTGAAGGGAGTCCCATTAGCCCTCCTAGAGGGAAGGACTCCATAGTCAAAGCAAGAGAGGTCTGCCATAGCTTAAGGAGAGGGTGATAGAGGAGGAGGAGATGAGTTTGAGGAGGGTGGAAGCCATAGCCAGGAAGTGAGCATCAGGGTTGAGACTCCACCTGCAAGCCACCAATAGAGGTGAGTGGAAGGAAGAAGCTTCTTTTTCTTCTTCTTCTTCTTCTCCCTCTTCTTCTTCTTCTTCTTCTTCCTCGTCTTCTTCTTCCTCTTCTTCCTCCTCCCTCTCATTCTTCTTCATCTTCTTCTTCTTCTTCCTCTTCGTCTTCTTCTCCTTCTTCTTCCCCCTTCCTCTCCTCTTTGATCTCCTCCATCTCTTGATTTTCACCTATTTGGTAGTATGTAGACTTGCGATTCACCCATGGATGCTCCGCTGCTCTTCCCTTGTGTTTTGGCCTGTCCAAGTTCTTGTTTCTCTCTCATTCAGTAGTAGATAGAGTTGCGATTCAACCATGGATGCTTCGCTGCTCATCCCTTGTGTTTTGGCCTGTCCAAGCTCTTGTTTCTCTCTCATTTAGTAGTAGATAGAGTTGCGGTTCACCCAT